CCGAGCGAAGGGGCAGGGGGTGGAAGCAGAGGATCCCAGAGGAATGGGGCTGGGAGGGACCCCCCAGAAGCAACCCCTGGCCCCAGGCAGGAGCAGCCCTGTGCAAACCAGCCCAGGCAAACCCAGCCTTTGAACTCTTCATAAAACTATCGTCAACTCTGACACAGCCCCAGGCTTCAGCCCCCCAAACCGTCCCCGGGAAAGCAGGAGGGACCAACGTCCTGCTGCCGCACAAGGGGCTCAGCGATGCTGGAGAGACCCCGGGTCAGGCTGTGCCCCTGCTGCAGAGGAAGGCAAAACCCCCCAGTCCGGGCCATCCCAAATGGCGACGAGGCAGTCGCTGGGGATTGATGACTGACCAGGTAGGAACCAGGGGTTGTGGCATGAACCGAGCGGGCAGGCAACTTCGCCAAGTCTTCTCTTGCTCCTTCACAGCTCGTGTCCCTCCCACTTGTCCCAGTGCCCTGCAGCCTGCTTATATTCGTCCTTTCGGGATTGGGCTCAGGTCCAGCCCTTCGTCTCTGCCTGTCTAGGTCTCAGGCCCTCCTGCAACCCCCCTCGCAGACAGGCATTTGGCAATCCAGGCTTAGGGTCTTTGAGGTCAGGAAGGTTTCCCCCATGGCATGAATGCTACTGGGAGCAAGAGAGGTTTACCCTCCTCTCGGGGCTGGGATGTTGGTCACAGCTATCTGGGCGTTTAGCCAGAGCTCCTGCTGAGCCTCAAACCCGCAGGGTCCTGGCTAGAGGGTCTTGCCCCTTCACTCAGGCTCAGACCAGTGCTGCACTGGGGGCAAGAAGGGATTTTTACCCTGTGGTCAGGCTGGCAGGGACTGAGAGGAGTTACCTACTCCTGCAATGTGGGGCACAGTCACAACATAAGAATTGCTATTCACCAGGTCAGACCATCGGTCCGTCTTGCCTGGCTGACCACCCTCCGAGTCAGGAGGTTCCTCCTCATCTCACAGAGAGCTAGAGACGCGGGGCTGGAAGGGACCGCTGGGGAGCACATCTGGTCCAAGCCCCTGCCTGAGCTCTTCCTTGTCTCCAGCCTCAGTTCCCCCTGCTGCAAATTGAGCCCATTGCTCCTCATCCTGTCTCCTGCCACCACGCAGAAAAGCCCATCTCCATCCTCTCTGTCATCACCCCTCAGGGATTTACAGACTATTATCAAACCCCTGCTCGGGCTTCTCTTCTCCTGTGTCGCACCGGGGCAGAGAGAGGAGGCTGAAGGGAGAGTGACCCCTGTTCCTCTCTCCCTTGCAGCCTCCAGCATCCTTGTTGCTCTTTTCTGGACCATTTCTAGTTCAGCTACATCATTTCTGAGGTGCAGGGACCAGTCTGTTGCTGCGGGCCAGGGCAGGGACAGTGCCCTCCTCTTCCCCCGCAGCAGGGTATGGGGGCTCCTGGTTCTGTGCCCTGCAGCCTGAACTGAAGGTCTGAAGGGGAGATTTGGGATGTTCCTCAGGCCGGCGGCTGCCGGTGAATGCAGAGGACTGGGTCTGATATCTCTGGCTGTCCCTGCCCATCCTACGTTCCCTGTGCTCCTCCTGCTATCCGGCCTCGGCGCCTCCTTGTGCAAACACACGCCAGGGAGACCCACGAGCTACTGCCCTGCTCAAAACCATTTCCAACAAAAAAGCACCCCGCTTCCAGGGGCAGCTGTGGGCGTGATCTGAACCCTGCAGATTGCAATGGAGCTGCGAGGACCTGGACTGATTTTTGTGCGTGTGAAATTTCATCTCTGGGGCTAGATCAGCTCTGAATCCTCTCAGTGGAGCAGAAGTCGATTGCTCCCATCTGTGCGGTGTTGCCACCCGCAAGTCTCCCCCTTCCAGACCCCTCAGCCCGGGGCTGCAGATACCCCCAGGTCCACAGCCATGTCCTACAGAGGCCTCAGAGTTCAGGTGCCCCCGAGTCTCGCCTGTCCCGAGCCAACAGGCAGGAGGAGCAAGCTCAAGGCAGAGCCCCAGAGGAACCCCCCATCGCCATCAGTCATGTGGCCACGATCCTGGCATGGGGGCCCTGCAGCCTGGCAGGGGTCAGCCTGTCGCCGTGCAAGGGGCAGACATCCACCCAGTCACTCGAGGCCAAGGAGAAGGGGGTCTCCCCTGCTAGGGCAGTCAAACCCCCTGAGGTCCAGACTGCAAGGGTGCGGACCGATTTTTGCATGCGTGTCATGTCGTCACCAGCCACATCTCAGCCTCTCCCTCTTCTCCCCCCTTTTTGGCACGTTTGTCCCTCAGGACTCAGTTTGTGGGGGCCCAGGACTGAGGCCTCCAGCCCGGGCGAGGTGTCCAGCTGCCCTCGGCAGGGCCAGGGCATGGAAAGTGCTCAGGCCATCACATCTGACAACTTACAGACAACTTTGTGGAGAGCGTCTCTAGACATGGCAGCTTTGCGCAGGGGTGCAGCCAGCAGCTGTGGCTCCCCAGGTCCGTTCCCAGGAAGCAAGGAGGGAAAACAGTGCCTGCTCCAGCTTCCTTCTGCTCTGAGGGGGGGTGGCTAACCCCAGACCCGCCCTGCCATGGCCGTGGGGGCATTTGGGATCCACGGTGGGTGATGCACGGTCATGGTTTGCAAGAACCAGGCGCAGGCAGGGGGGAAAGGTAGGGCCTGGGCAGCAGCTGGTGAGTGCTGCATGCAGTTTCTCTCTGGAAGTGGGAGGGCAGGATGGGGGGCCCTGGTGCTTGGGACCCGGGTGCTGTGGCCACAGCAGGTTTTGTGTCTAGCAGAGAAGCAGGCTTTGCTTCATAGCTTCCCAGGGGCTGTTCCTATCTCACCCCATAGCTAAGCACCCCCCTCCCACGCTCCCAGCATCTGTCCCCAGTGCCCATCATAGCCCCCATTTCCCTGGACAACTCTGCAAAGGATTCTGGGATGTGGGTTGGGGTGACAAGAGGAGCCCAGGGAGGCTGAGATGCAGATGAGAATGATGCTCCAGACCCTGCCCTCTCCGCCTGCCCCCGGGCAGCTGTCACTGGGGGGAGACAGAGTCGCTCAGAAGCTGGTTTCTCTTCTTTTTATTACCAAGTGCAACCACGTTGGGGATGGCAGGAACCAGGAAGCACCTTGGCACCTGATCTCCTGCTGGGGGGCCACGCAGCCGGGGTCCTGGGGCCTTCAGCGCTTGGAGAAGTCCCCACCTAGAGAAAGGGGGGTGGGACATGAGGCTGGGAGCGGCCCAGAGGAGGGGGCTTCAGAGCCAGAGCTTCCTCCTGCAGTACCAGGGACCTGGCCATGCCCCATCCATGGGCCGCAGTCACCCCGGTCGGCAGCACAGTCTCAGCTGCAAGTGCTGTGTCTTTGCACAGCTCCAGCTGCCCTCGAGAGAGGCTGGCGATGCCCAGCCTGGGCTACCCAGCTGTCAGCCATGCTGCAGGGGGTAAAGGCCCTCCCTGATGTGCGACCCATTGCTGGCACAGCCACCCCGGGCTCAGGGGCACGTGCACTCTGCACCATGTCCAGGGCAGGAGGACAGGCCAGAGATTCCCTCATATGCGTGCACTCACCCTGGCAGCTGCTGCACTCGCAGCTGTGGATGACGGGCAGTACCACGGGCTCCACCTCCCCGTCCTCGCAGCGCAGGCTTAGGAGGCGGACGGGGCTCACGGGGTCCAGGCGGTAGCTGCAGCAGTCACACAGTGTCTGCAGGTATGGCTCCTGCCGGGGGGAGAAATGCAGAGTATTGTCATGGGAGAGGTCCAGGATAGGGCCCAAGGGTGTCAGTGGCTCAGCTGCTGCGATGCATGCAGTGGTGTAGAAGAGGCTCCTAGCTGCAGCCCTCGTGCTCCTCTTGGTGCCCGTAGCCCGGGCCGTCCCGCTGCGGCTTCTGGCACTGCCAGTGGGCACGTGTGCATGCGCCCCGGTGCAGGCTGTGCTCTGGCGAGGAGCCACGTGATGCCAGAAACACGCGTGTGTATGTGCCTTGTGGGTACCGAGACCAGTCAGGGCAGACAGGGACGTGCTGAGCCCCCGACCCCGCCCATATCCAGCAGGGATAGGAGCCAAAAGCCCATCAGGTGAGCGGACGGGAAGGCGGCACACAAGCTGCAGGTGAGAGAGCAGCCAACACAGGCACTACCCCTGCACGGCTGCACCACTCAGCTCAGGGGTCCCATCCCCGTGGCCCCCCTCCATGCCCTGCTCACCTCTGGGAGGACATTGGTGCGAGACAGGCAGCGCCCGCGGCAGTAGCTGACCTCCACTCCGCGCAGCGAGCACCGGCCCTTGGTGATGTTGCGCACCTCAGTGTAGCGCTGGCACGCGGCCGACGGCTCCTCTGCGGGGACAAGGGCAGCAGTGACCATCCCCATTTCTAATGCCCACAGACCCACCCTGTTGGGGTGGAGCAGGCGGTGGGGCTCCCTTGCTGGAGGGCTTCACGGGGCCTCTGTGTGTCCGGGGGCACTGAGGACAGCGTGCTGCCTCTGCATGGGGCTAACAGGCCCCGTCTCACCCCAGGTTCGCCGCATTAGTGCCACGCTGGGTGTGGGATTCGCAGGATGCTCCTGCAGTGCCCCCCAGTGACGCCCCCAACCTCGTTAGTCCCGGGCTGATGGCGGGTTCATACCGAGCGACTCCATCCTGCACACGGGGCAGCAGCTGCCTGGCTCCTGCACCTTCACCTCCCCCTGCGGAGAGAGAGAAAGTTGGCACCGGTGAGGTGGGCTCAGCTCAGGACTGGCCCCATGGGCTCCCTCGGCCCGGACACCCGGTGCCAGCGGAGCCTGGGCTGCAGGGGTGAGTCTGGCTGTGGCCCCTGCCCCGGGCTGCCATGTTCCCCACCCCGTAGCCTGTAGCTCCCTGCCAGCAACGCAGCCCTGGGGGCTCTGGGAGCTGGTGCCCAGGACCGTTGTCCTCGGCCTGATGGGGGACAGGGTGGCCGGCGGGCCCGTACCTCGAGGCAGGGGAGCGGGGGGGAGCCCGCCCTG